AATACACTCATACACATAAAATAAAATAATAAAATAATAAAAATAAAATATATTTTTAAAAATATAAAAATAGGATGGCACCAAAATTGACAGCCACTACCATTACCACCTTCACATTAGCATCACCATCATTACTACCACTACCACCACCATCACCATCATTAGACACCATTACAAGCATTACCACTGCTACCATCACCATGAGTGCTATTATCATCACCATAATCACCACCATCACCACCGTCATCACCTCCATTACCATTATCATCATCACCAATCACTAGCATTGGTAACACCATGTTCACCCCCACACACTATCATCACCACCACCATCATCACCACCACCATCACTATAATCACCCTTATCACCACCATAAACCATCCTATTGTTACCATCACCACCATCATAGCCACCATTCCCACAACTGCCATCACTGTCCTCACCATCACTGCTATCACCTTTACCATCATCATCACCACCATTACCACAGTACCGTCGTCACCATCACCTCCACCATCATCATCACTGTCATCATTATAATCACCATCATCACTCTGAGAGCTCCCAACTTGAACCGAATGAGCATTTTCATATCAGCCAGCCTTCCTGTGTTTCAAGTGGACAAGCAGTTCTCCTCAGGCATGAGGGCTGGGGCTCTGCCTGTTGGGTTAGCTGCCCAGGTAGTGCTCGAGTGGGGTGGCAACAGTTGTTTATCCATCAGACCAGGGCCTGAGTGCTCCCTGGTAGTGTCCTCCTTCATGTGGTAGGGAGACAGTTGTGTAGTGATAGGAGTGTGATGGTGGCTGTACTGGGGAGGCAGCTCCTATCAGGGGAACCTAGTTCTTAAGTCTAATTCTCAACTAGAAGGGTCCTATGCTGGCTGCAGGCATAGAAAGCCCATATCCTCTGCTGTGGAACTGATAGCTGTGGATCAAACCCCACAGAACTGCAGTTGCTCGGAAGTAGCAGGATGTAGATGACAGCCCATATGGACATTCCAGCAATGTGCTGGATTCAGACCAGAGTTGGTCTTGAGCTGAACAACTACAGGAGGCAGAAATTAATATCACTGGCCCAGGTCTCCCTGCTAGTGAGTAGCCAAGCAGGCTATACTCAGAGTTGTCAGGTTCCACCACAACGTGCCCTCAGCCACTCAGACACGAGGTGCTTTTCCTGAGACACTGCCACAGTATGCTCTGTGCCTTTAAGGGCTCCTCAGCTGGGCAAGACAGAGGTACACAGCCTACAAGGTGATGTTCATACATAATTGTAACTAATTCCTGGAAAGGACATATGGGCTTCAATTCCCATGGGAAGTCTCTCTGAGTGCCAAGTGTCCCTGTCACACCAACTATGATGCGATGTGTGACTGGGCTTCTGTCCCTCTTGGAACAGAAAGGTGTTCAGATGGAACTCTTTTTGAATTCTCCAGTTGATGCTAACAAGGATTGGCTCATGGAGATGGAGATGAGTATTATGTGGTCTGCATGTGTTTTGAGTGTGTTCCTAGAGGGTTCATGTTCTAGAAATTTGGTCCCTAACATAATGGTGCTGAGGTGTGGAACCTTTAGGAGATAGGCCTGTGGAGGCCATTTGGTCATTGGGATCCTGTTCTTGGAAGGAATCAGTATAGTTCTCATGGAAACTAACCTGAGTCCCTGAAAACTACTGAGTCCTTCCAAAGACAGGATCCAGCAAGGCTGGCTTCTAAATGCCTCTGTCTCTCACTGTGTGATCTCTCCCTCTCCTACATACTCCAACCATCATGCCATGTTGGGCTATAGACAGAAGCCCCTCACCAGAGCCCAGCAGATGAGGCCACCCACTTTTAGGTTTTCAGCCTCCAGAACAATGGACCAAATAAACATGTCTTCTTCATACACTACGTGGCCTACAGTATTTTGTTCTAACAACAGAGCACAGACTAATACCGATGATCATGAAACATCCATGGGCTCTCACTGTTAGTCTTAAATGGGGACATTCCCTTTAGGTGACGGCTCTCCAAAGGGTGACCAATATACAACACAAGTCAAACTTGCATTTTTCCAAGTGGCCGATGAACAAAAGCAGGGTCTCCAATAGAATGATGTTCCTTATCAATATCCAGCTATGTTCAGTTAATTCCTAAATGCACTATGTTCCAATTAATTCTGTCCTAACAAATCATTTCATGCATCCATGTGAGTTCTCCTGTGCCTGCACTCTCAAAATGTTTGCTGAATGGGCAGTAAAATATCCTCAGAGCTCAGACTGAGAAAGGCGGAGTGGCCCACAGCATCCTGGTACCTCCGACAGGCTTTGAGCCCAGCTACACAGGCCATTGAGATACTCACTGCGGTAGGTAAGCAAACAGATCCCTGCCATTCCACTCACCTTGTGGGCTTGGTCCAGGGCCTGCTTCCTGTAGTCCAATTCCTCATCCAGGTAGCCCTTCTGCTTGCTGAACAGCTCCTGAAACACATGGGCCAGGTCTTAGCCTCAGACATCCAGACCTGGGGTCACCAGCCTCAGGCATGCAGGGAGAGTTCACTGACCTTCTCACTCTCCAGATCCACCATCTTCCGCTGCAGTGCTGACTCTGTCTCTTCAATCCGCTGGAGCCACTGGGCACAAACAGAATGAGCAGGTGACAGTGACACCTTTTATCGCCCACAGGAACACTGAAGCTACCTTCCCACCCAGCTCCAAGGAGACAGCCTAGAAGAGCATCAGGGGAGGTCTGGCCAAGGGAAGGGAGTTAGGACTGGGCTGGCATCATGGATTCCAGATACCCAACCCAATCTAGACCCCACCATCCACCCCACACCTGGCTTCCAGGATGCCTATCACCCCCTACCTTCCCCAGGAGAGGAGGGACAATTAGTTTGAGGAATAATGGGAGCATTTATAGAACTCTGCCAGGAGAGGTGGGGTAGCCTGTTACCCCAAACCTTTGTTTGCCAGGAACTGAGGAGGGGCTGAGAGGTGCCCACTGGTCAAATCCGGCCTGGGAACAGGACCAGGAGCAGGCTGACAGGCTACGTAACACCAGATCTTGGAACCAGGGAACTTGCCAGCTTTATAGATTCTACCCAGCTCCTAGCCTTTGGGAGGAGCTGGAGGTGGAGTCAGTATTGGGGAAGTATCTATGGGAGGAGGTGGAGGTGGAGTCAGTATCTATGGGATGAGGTGGAGGCAGAGCTGGGTTGGGCCAGTATCTGGCAGCATAGTCTCTGTTACCTTTTCTGCCAAGGTCAGCACTGTTCTTGCTTGTATGACAACCACTTGCTCCTCATTGGTCAGATTCTGTGCGCAAAAGCAGAATACAGGTAGAGTCAGAGGCAGTACTTTTTTGGGTGGGAGGGGCTGAGTGATGAATGAACATGGGGAGGGGGATCTGGGGCTAGAGCTAAAAGATACTACTGCTTAGTCGTCCCTCTTCATAGCTAATGCCACACCTTGTCCATCTGGGGCACTGTCTATCTCAGTCTCTCACTGCTGGAACCTTGAAAATCTTAGTGAACCGGCTGGGACAGCTTAACCAGCAGGCAGGCCTGGCCCACATCTTGGAGACAAGTGTTTCTTTGTCCACCTGTCCCTGTCTTCGTTTAAAGTCAGCACTCTGAACTTGTAGCCATGGTGAAACTCAAGTATTCATGGCTGTGTATGATTCCTGGTCCTGTGGTTGGGTGGTTTGTGTTGATGTGTTTTGTTGTTTGCTTATATTTCTACATGATTTATTCATGTGTTTTCCTAACAGGCCTCTGAGTGGTCTTTCTGAGCAGAGTCTGGCTTTGTGGCCAAATGGGTCCCCTCTCTGGATGTGGCCAGCCACATGCTCAGAGTCAGGCTGCTATCTGCTTCAATATGAGCACATCAAGAGGAGGCAGGATGCATGGTGAGCTGAGGCTGGAGTGGGGAAGGCCCCAGTCCACCCTCAGAACTTCCCTGACTGGGTCACTCAGAAAACTTGCTCTTCCTTTCTGGAAGGTGAATTTCCTAAAGGCAGGTGTCTCTTCCCATTCCCCAGACTCCAAAGTCAGAACAGGGTCGCCCACAATTGACTACTCTGGCATGTATGCAGGTGGCTACACTACCTGGTATGAGCAGGCAGGAGCCTCATCTGCCAGCGCTAAGCCCTAGGGTTCTTCATCCCCGTTTGCCCTCCTTCCTGTTCCTCTCCTCTCACACTCTTCCTAATCCCTCCTTCACACCCATCCTCTTCCTCATCTCTCTTCCTCCTGTTCCAGAAGCCTTGAGGCTGTTCCTCCCCGCCAGGATAGAGCTGGGTGTCCATAGCCTCCCCACACTTTGCTAAGCTGGTGTAGTTGGGGAGACTGACCAAGTGGCTTCAGGGTGACTGAAGATGTGGTCAGGGCAGGTGGAAGGGACTCAGTGTCACTTTTGGTGTGCAACCTGGCCCTCTGACCCCTGGAGGTCATGTTCTGATGCCCTACTTTGGCAGAGGGCCATCTGCTTAGCCTCTAGGCTTCTCCACTCCTTCTCTAGGAGACAGCAGGTAAGCTGTAACAGCTTGGGCTGCACCATCGGCTAGGGAGGACGGGTCTCTGTTCTGCCCACACTGACATCTCCACTCTGCCCCCAGCAGCCTGGCTCCTGAGAAAACCGCGGCAGATGGGAAAGGCTCTGGAGTTTGTGCCTGGTGGCAGCAGCCACCACACCCGTGTTCTGTAGTCGTGACGGTGATGGTCACTGCATGCTCCCAGAGGGGACCTGTAGGCTCAGGCTCCTCATAATGTGGTGTTGAGTCATATGGTATACATAATGTTTATCTGATGGCTGCAAAGTCAGAACTGAAAAGATGGTCCCTTGGCCCATTGGCAGGAGCTGCCAGGGTCTTCACAGGGTCCCCTGGGTATAAGAGCTGGCCATTTTCCCTCTAATCCCCAGTCCTCCTCTGTCCCTATGCTCTGTGACAGTAACCTTGGAGGCTACGCAATGGCTTTAAGGTAGTCATGTTTAGCAGTGCTCTTGAGTGAGCAGCTAGTGAGCTAGGGAAGGGCCCTAAAATAGGGCAGGGCCATTACCCTAACTGCCACTAAATCAGCTCTGTGATCCTGAGCAGGTACCTTCTGGGGCCTCAGTTTCTCCAGGCGGATCAGAGGTTAGAGCCTATGGCAGAGCTGAAACTTAGGATAGACTCAGGGCGTATCACACCATTGGCCATTCCTGCTGTAGGATGGGGCTTCATCACCTTGGCCACTGGGTCTACTAAGGCTGGGCAAAGAGTCAGCAGAGCCATCAGGACTCCATGCATGTGCCTCTCCCTGCTCGGCTCCTCCGCCTCCCAAGCCAGGGGCAGGTGAAGAAAGAAGGGTTCCTGTCAAACCAAACCGGACACACCGGGGGCAGGAGAGCTCTGAAAGTGTGAAATAATACATGAATGGGTGGATGGATGTGGGATGGAGGGGTAGCTGGGAGAGGGAAGAGAGGAGGGAGGAAGGGGAAGAAGGATTCATAGAGGAGGGGTAGGTGACAGAGATGCATAGAGGACGGACAGACGGAATGAGGGTGGATGTGTGGCGGAATAATGGATGGGTGGGTGGGTGGATACATGGAGGAAGGGAGGGAGGGTGAAGAGAGTGAGGGAAGGAGGAGAATTGATAAATGATGTGTATATGGATGGATGGATGGAAGATGGACGGACCACGACTACATGGATGAATGGAGGCAGGGATGGAGAAATGGATGGATGGGTGGGTGGTATAGATGGATGGATGGATGGATGGATGGATGGATGAGGGAGGCAGGGTAGAGAAAGGGAGGAGAATTGAAGGATGGATGGATAGATGGATGAGGGAGGCAGGGTAGAGAAAGGGAGGAGAATTGAAGATGGATGGATAGATGGACTGAGGATGGAAGGCTGAATGGGTGGAGGGTGGATGGGTAGATAGTAGACAGAGGATAGATGAAAGGAGGTGGATGGAGGAAGAATGGACAGAGGGTGAATGGTGGATGGGTAGATGGAAGACAGGGTGGATGGATGGAGGATGGCTGGATGGACAGGGGGAGGATGGATGGAGGATGGATAGGTGAATGGAGGATGGATGAATGGTGGAGAGAGGGAAGGAAGGAGGAAGGAAGGAGGAAGGAAGGAACGAAGGAAGGAAGGAAGGGAGGAAGGAAGGAGGGAGGGAGGGAGGAAGGAGGGAGGGAAGGAAAGAAAGAAGGAAGAGATGGAGAGGGAGAGAGGGAAGGAAGAAAAAGAAAGAAAGCAGGGAGGGAGGGGAAAAAGAGGGAGGGAGGGGCAGAAGGATAGAGGGAAGGAAGATAAGACAGGACGGAGGAAGGAGGAAGGAGGAAGGAAGGAAGGAGGAAGGAAGGAAGGAGGGAGGGAGGAAGGAAGGAGGAAGGAAGGAAGGAGGAAGGAAGGAGGGAGGAAGGAAGGAAGGAGGAAGGAAGGAGGGAAGGATAGAAATTGCATTTGTTTTGCCCAGTTGGTAATTATTCATTTGAGGAGTTTGCTATAGAAATTGGAACTCTGGGGGCTGGAGATGGCTCAGCAGTTAAGAGCACTGGCTGCTCCCACATGGCGGCTAACAACCATCTGTAATTTCAGTTCCAGGGGAATCCGATGCCTTCTTCTGACCTCTGCAGGCATTGCACAACACAGGTGCACTTACACACATGTAGACAATACACTTATACACATAAAATAAACTAAAATTTTTTTTAAAAATAAGAAAGTGGAAATTTGCCCCAAATGAGATTTGGAGATTGCCCTGGACTCTGCTTCCTTCCCCAAATCAGGGAATTGGGTACACCCACTATCTTGGGTTGTCTAAGGGCAACACACCCCTAACCCAATCTCCTGTGTGCTTAGAAGAACTGAAAGACAGCGAGTTCCAGAAACTAAGGGCATGTGGCCGGAAATACATTCAGGTGGAAGCTTGGGCCCCAATGGGTACGGGAACAATGACCCAAGAGCAGGCTTCTTGCAAATGTAGGGGTCCTGTTTCAAGCAGGCTATGTGCCTCTGGAAAGGTCTTTGGACAGGTGGCTTATGATGGGACTGAAGCAGCCTGAGGGGGCCCCGGAGCCTGCAGGGCTGGGCTGGGGTGGTTGGCATGAAGAGGCATGCACAAGTCAGGAGAGCAACATACACTTACGGCGTTATCCCCCAGGATGTCCAGCTTCTTCATCAGCTCTGTGACCAGGATGTCCTAGGAGGCAGAGAGAGGGATAGCCAATCTGTGAGTGACAGCCGAGTGACCAGTGCAAGGTGAGGGAGGGGAGGGCCTTACCGTCACGCCTTCGGCCTCGCAGTACACCTGAAGAGGGCTCTTCCCATCCACAAAGGGTGTGTGGTGAAAGTTGATGGCAGGTGACTTCCTCTCCCGCTCCTGAGACAGAGAGCAGAAGGCTGGGCATGCTGCAGGGTGAGGCTGTTTTTAACTATCTCCTCCCTTCTGTGCTGGGGCTAAGAAAACTGTGGCTAAGACTATCCACTGACTAGTCAATTAACGTTCCCTAAACTTCGCTCCAGTGGAGGCCTCAGGCAGAAATCTCATAGACTCACCCAAAAAGATTGCCCATGTGTTTGCTACCCAGGTGGTAGGATCCTGGCTCCCTCAAACCCTGGCCATGTAGCCCTAGCAGGGCTCAGCCCAGGCCCCACTTTTTTATCCTCAGTGTCTGTCAAGAAGCTCAAAAGATAGACCTCAGGTAAAGAGTAACCCATAAGGCTGGTAAAAGGTCCCTGAAGACCACAGATGGTACTCACAGCCCTCATACCCAGGCCACGCATGGGAGCCCAGGAGCCATGAAGGACAGCCATCTCCACAGAGCAGATGCACAGCCCTCCTGCACCCAGGGAAAGGGACGGAGAGCTCTGAGCAGTGGGTCCATTTGGATTCAGCGTGCAATACAAGCTACTGCCTACTAGACAGAGGACTCAGGGTTGTCAGGGAGTGACCAGCAAGGTCACATCTGTATAGAACAAGTCCTCCAGCTTCAGTGGGCCACACTGCTCAACCTCCCTCACAGGGAAAGGTGGTGCAGTGACATGGCCCTCCTTACCCAGCCCCTTCCTCCCCTTTCCTTTGAAGGTCACAGCAGAAAACATGGACCAGGGACAGCAGGGCAAAGTTGAAGGATACCTGACCACCGTAAGGCACCCTCTGCCCCCACTGGGAGGCGTCTATGAACAAGGGTGGGTGTCTGGTGGATTGCGCAAGGCCTGGGTGTGACTTCTGCCCTCGTCGCCTTAGCGCTGCTGCAGCCGCGGTGATGTGCTACGGGAGCAGCTCTGGGCTTCATTTACTCCCCTTTCCCTTCATGATGCTCAGTTTCACACTTGCCCCACTAGTGTGTCCATCCTGGGAGGTGTACAGTTGACCCCACCTCACCTCTTTCCTTTCCCATGGGGCCTTTAGGTTTCTATTCAAAGACTCACAGGAACTGGTAGGTTTGAGGACAGGCCCACCTGGGCACCACCTCAGCCCTTCCTACCTCGAGCTCCAGGATCCTGAACTCCAGCAGCTCATTCTGGTCTTTTGCATCCTGGACCTCATGCTTCAGTCGGGCCTCCTCTGTCTCCATTTGTTTAATCTGGAAAACAGAAGGGGGTGAGGCAAGAAGTCGAATGATTCTCTTGCGAGAGGGCACATGTGGTCAGCTTCCTGGCTTCCTGGACAGCCGCCTGCCGTCTGTGGGGATGGTGTACCTGCCAAGCACCCAACCCTGGAAGCTCCCTAGGGCGGGTATGGCCCTGAGTGCTCAGCCCAGTCTAAGTGTGCCTAGAGAGAACTGAGAGCCTTCACCCCTTGGCTAAGTGGGTGTAGGGACAGAGAGTCACTGTATAGTGAGCGGGGGAACTCCAAACCCAGAGACACAGGCTGTGCAAAGATGGAGAAGGAACGAGGTTATTGAGAGCAAACTGTCCCCTGTGGTTCCTGGAGTTCAAGCTGGCCCAGGGCCCTGCGTACATTGTTCCCTCATATACCACGGTTGCCTGGTCACACTCCAGATTTGATGTAGCGAATTAAGGCCTGTTTAAATAGCACCAGTGATGAGTGAACCTGACGTGGGAGTCTGCCTTCCTGAGGGTAAACACACAAGAGCTGAGATAGAGCTCAATGGTAAGCGGTGGGACACATGCTGAGCATGCATGAGGCTCTGGTTTGACTCCCAGGGTCACAAAACCAAACCCAAAGACTGACACAGCGCCCCAGCGGTTCACATCCTCAGCAGTTCCTAAGGACAGGATGTCCACTATGGCTGGTAGCTGTATTCATCTTTCAGAACTTAATCTGGGGGACCTATTGGGGCCTGCTCTAATGCCCAGGAGATCAGCAAGGTGGGCATCCTATAAATGAGACAATTGAGTCAGCACTAGCTCCTTCCACAGTGCTAATTCTTTTTTTATTTTAAAATATTTTATTTATTATTTTTATGTGTATGACTATATTGCCTTCATGTATGTAAGTGTACCCATGTCATGCAATTCCCGTGAAGGTCAGAAGAGGGAGTCGGATTACCTGGAACTGGAGTTATAGACCATTGTTAGCCACCATTTGGGTGCTGGGAACTGAATCTGGGTTCTCTGCAAGAGCAGCCAGTGCTCTTAACCACTGAGACATCTCTCCAGCCCCTCAGTTCTTTTTATTTATTTATTTCTTTTGAGACAAGGTCTCTGGGATTAAAGGCTTGTACCACCACACCTGGCTATTTATTTTCTTATTTATTTATATTGAGGGTTTCTGATAATGTTACATTCTGAACATACAAAGGGTACAAAATGAATTTTTTTCCAGAATATTTCAAAGGTTGGTACCAGTCAATCATTGTCTGCAAAGTACCTTTGCATAATGTTACTGTAGGTCATGTTGTCTCTTAATTAAAGACGCCGTATGTCCATAGTTTTGGCCTGTACTGAAACGGGGGAAAGAGGGTCCCCTAGGGGGTTTTTAGTCTCATTCATAAAAGAATTGAAGAATGGACCCAAACGGCAGAAAGTGGACAGACTTACAGTGACTACATGACCCGTGGCTGGTCAGAAGTTCTGCGGAGTCCTGTGTTACAAGGTGGGATCAGCCCCTCAGTTCTTACACTGCACGGCTGGCTGAGGTGAAACACTGAAAGGCCAGAATCATGATTCTATGCTCATCAAAGCTAGAGAAGAGTACAGGTTTGTGTGCGTGCGTGCGTGCGTGTATGCGTGTTGACAGATGCTGACACGGGCCATCTTCAATCAACTCTTCACCCTGTTTTTTGAGACAGGGTTTTGATCCTGGAGCTCACTGATTCAGCCAGACTAGCCAGCCAGCAAGCCTCAGGGATCCTCCTGCCTCCACCTCCCCAGTGTTGAGGTTTCACACATGTTACTGTGTCTGGCTTTTGACATAGGTGTTAGGACCTGAATTCAGGTCCTCAGGTCTGCTCAGCTCAGCACATGCTTTATTGACTGAGTCATCTCCTCAGCTCCCTGAAGAGCATAGTTTTTTGGTTTTTTTTTTTTTCGGTCTTTTTGAGACAGGGTCTCCCTGTATCCCCAGATGTCCTGGAACTCACTATGTAGACCAGGCTAGCCTTGAACTTGCAGAGATCTGCCTGACTCTGCCTCCCACATGCTGGGACTAAAGGTGTGCACCACCACACCTGGCAAGAGCACAGATCTGTTAATTTGTACATGAGCATCTTGGTGTTTAAGTGTGGTGTATATGGATGTAAGTGTGTAGTATAAGCCATATCTCTCCTGTCTGAGCCTATCTTGGGAAAGGTGTAGTGGCCCCAGGCAGCCACTAAGGCACTAGTAAAAATATCCTGGCTCTATCCCATGTTTTCTGACCTGTTTTAGTCAGATAAAATATTCCAGCCACTGAAACCACAGCCAGGGAAATGGAGGCGGCAACATTTTTGGAGTCCCCTATTATCCAGAGGTCAAGAGCGTCCACAGCTGGAGCTACTGCCAGGTACCACCCCAGTCAAGTTGCACAGTCAGACACAGAATTTCAGGTTCACCTGGGGACTCTCAAAGGGGCTGTTCCCTGAGGACATTTGTCCTCACAGTGAAATTTGCTAGAAGCAGTTCCCTGACTCACATGACTTCTACCCCAGATGGTTCCTGTGGTCTCTCCAACCATGTCCACCCACGGAGCCCATCAGCACAGCAGAGGATGTCCGTGCTGGGGGCAGATACCTAGAGGCCTCTGGAGCGCTGTGGGAGCCAGAACAACCTGCCGTGGCTTTTCCATCTAGGAGGTGAGTGGGGAGTATGCAGTCAGAGCTCCCTTGGGCAGGTACAGGGAGAATCACAGGAGGGCCTGGAACCTGTGCCTGAGCCCACTGCCAGTCCCCAGGGCCCACCACACACTACATGAGTACGGGGCTCTTGCCAGACTTGCACACAGCTGGAGGAGGGGCGTACCTTTTCTACAAGCTCTTGATTCCTTCGATACAAAGCTTGCTTCTCCTCAATCCACTTCATATCCTTGAAAATAGAATTGAAATGAAGACATAAACACCCTGCAGGAGAGCTTTACAAAGCCACCTCCAGACTAGAACTGAGTACACCAGCGCCTACCATTGTAGCGGCCACTTAGACATGTATGGCTATAGAAACCTTTTTGTGGTACCTGTCCTCTTTCCTTGACAGAGAGCAGATGCAGCTGGCCCTGCATCAAGAGAAAGTCTCAACAGTGTCACGTGTCATCACATGACTATCATGGCAAATATTTTGGAAAGCAGATTCCCTGACCCACATGACTCCTGACTGGAATGGTTGCAGTGGTTTCCTCCAGCACCCCCAGGCCAGGCACTCATGGAGTGTGGACCTCATAAGTTCAGGGAATCCTGATCTGGAACTGGTGAGGACTCATGCTAGACAGGAGAATGGGGGGGGGTGTCTCAGGGTGGCACACACAGGGTAAGGTCTGGTCTACTTCACACTCAGGACACATGGCAGACCACAGGCTTTGCATTCTGTCAAAGGTCAGGATGCCTCCTGACCTAACCTCTAGTCTTACCCAGTAGGAAGTTGTGTGTCCCCAGTACACCCTCCTTTGCCTGGCATCTACCCTCCACCAGCGTTTTTAAGTCCTAAGCAGTGTTGGGAAGAGAATCACTACTTCACACTCAGGACACATGGCAGACCACAGGCTTTGCATTCTGTCAAAGGTCAGGACGCCTCCTGACCTAACCTCTAGTCTTACCCAGTAGGAAGTTGTGTGTCCCCAGTACACCCTCCTTCGCCTGGCATCTACCCTCCACCAGTGTTTTTAAGTTCTAAGCAGTGTTGGGAAGAGAATCGGCTGCCTCAGACCTGGGCTTTGTTGGGACATTTCTCCCTGCAAAGGTGTGCTCAGGTCTAGAGATGAAGATCATGATGTTCATATGCTCCTGGTCTCTAGTTCCCTGGCCACTTCTTTTAGCACAAACACAGGACAGCAGCATCTGGGACACAACCCTGACCATTAGCCAGGTCCTTAGGGGCATCTTTTGTGACATCTGGCCAGGACCACCCCTTGGTCTGTGAGGACTGTGCATGATGCAGTCTGAATACCATCAACACAGACTCATGTGCCTTGTGGCTGGGGAATGGAGGCAAACTAGGCCTGTGTATCAGGTGAGGTGAACGCAGCTGCTGTGGCACTGAATTCTGGGACATTGGCAATAGAGCATGGGCACCACTTCAGTGTCTTCCTGCCTATCCATCTAGCAGTTAACACAGTGAGAACCACCAGGGCTCAGCACTGAGGCTGGACAGAGGCCAGGGAGCATGCCCACTTTCAGAGAACTCTCCTGTGAGGACATCCTCTAGCCTCATCTTTGGTTCTGAAGGTCACAGGGGGACACAGCCCCTGAGGCCATGGGAGACAGGCACTCAGAGGTAGTGGTTGTAATGGGAGGGATAACACTAAGAACATGATAGGTCTTCAGGAGCCAGGTCAGGGGCCAAGGCAGAAGTTTTCCCCTCTGGTATCTGCAGCGGGGCTGCTGGGGTAGGTTGAGAGCAGGAACCCCACAAGCATCCAGAGCGGCTCACCTGCCCCTGCTCAGCCAGCGCCTTCTCCAGGTCCTCTACCCGTGTCTGTGCTCGCTGCACTTCTACTTGTAGCTGCTCACGGGTCTGTAGGATGGGAGGAAGATCAAATGTTCTCTAACCGCCCAGGCAGGCAGACAGACAGACAGACAGACAGACAGACAGACAGACAGACAAACAGGGCTGCAGGCTGCAGAGGACTCTGCTGAATCTGGCTAATTGGGAAGTGGCCGTTTGGTTTGGTTTCCAGGAAGGGAAGAAGTTTGGGACTGGGAAAGAAGTGATCTCAAGTAGAACATAGAGGGAAACAGCTGTGGGTTATATCTGCGAGCTCGTGGTAAAGCTCTTGCTTATCTAGTAAAACAGCCTGAGAGGGCACCAGGACCCTGGTGTGCTCAGCTCTATTGCTGCTGGCTAGGTGTGATGGTTTGAATGAAAATGTCCCCCATAGGCTCCAAGTATTTGGACATTTTGTCCCCAGATGGTGGTGCTGTTTCGGGAAGTTTCAGAAGGTGTGGCTATCCTGGAGGAAGCATGTCACTGGGGGTGGGCTTAGGGAGTTCGTAAGCCTTGCCAGATCTCCAGTTGGTCTCTTGCTTCCTGTGTCTGTGTGATGATGTGAGAGCTTAGCTTCTGCTGCTCCTGGTCCAGCCACCTCTAACCACCATGCCTCCCTGCCATGACAGACTGTAATTCCCCTGGAACCGTAAGCTCAAATAAACTCTTCCTTCAAAAATTGCTTGGGTCAGTGTTTCTATCACAGCAACAGAAAAGTGACTAACACACTAGTCAGGCTTGATTCTCTGTCACTGACTGTCGGAGTGGTCTGTAGAAAGACTGCTACTCCTGCCCCAGAGCCCTCTGCTGACCTCCAGGTCCACTGCCTTCTCTGTAGCTTGTGCTCCTGATCCAACCTTCCCACCGGGTGTGTGTTTTATTTCAACAACAGGCTGTGAGATTGACAAGTCATCTCTCCTGGTCTGTGAAGTCCCCCTCCTGGCCTGGGCTTCTAACTGGGTCCAGTCTCTCTTTGACCTTATTTTGTCTTGGGAGGGTTTGTCTGCCGAGAGTAGCACCTGCTCCCCCTGGGTGCAGCCTCCAGAGCAAATGGATATGACTGGTTGAGTCAAGGGCAGAGGCCCATCACCTTGGGACAGCAGGGCCTGCAGAGCGCGCCTCATGGCCTTAGGTCAATTTGGTGAGGGGATGTGTCTGACAATGTTTTCCTCCAAGGAAGGATCACACAAATATTAAATTTAAAAAAGCCATAGAGGGGACACTTAAAGTCCTCTTCTATGTCGAGAACTATCCTTTCCATTTTCCTCTCTGCTTTTCCAGCCAGAAGAGGGAGAGTTGCCTCCAAGAACAGATGAGTCTCCACCCCATCAGGGGCAGAGGTGGGAAGGAGGGCAGCAGAAGTGGGACTTGGGGAGCAGCAGGGAGGGGAGGGGTTGCAACAGGTCTTCCATTTGGGTTTCCACAACAGGTTCCCCGAGTGGAGCTGCCAGGAAGCAGATCTGCAAGCTGGCTCCCCTGGGGCGGCTGGGAGGATGCAGTGGGGGTGGGGCATCATGTCCCCTCATCCTGAGAGGCCTATCTTCCACCCAACTCACAGTCCTAAACTGCAGAAGCCATGACGTTGCCTCTTGTCCAGCAGGGTAGACAGGGAAAGTGTAGCCAAGCAGAACCCAAGACCCCAGGGCTGCCTGCTTAGGAGAGCCCCGCATCCCCAGGAAGTGGCCTGTCTTCTTACTGGTCAACCACAGTTCCTAAGGCAGCTTGCCCCTGAGAAGCAGTGAGGAAGGTTAACGCCCTTTGCTGTGTCCCCCTCCCTGAGACTTAGTGCCCTCACTGCAACCCAACAGCCAGCAGAGGGCGTCCCCAGCCCTGCCGGCCAGCTTTGTCAGGATGCTGGGAGCTGGTAGGACAGGTCCAGGGAAGCAGGTGGGAGCTTCTTGGGACTGCCTACAAAGCTCAGGGTAAAGGCAGGCACGACGTTTGAGTCCAAGATTTGTTGGATGAGTAGCTTTTGTAAGTTTAAAACCTGAGCTCCCACACTGTCTGTGGCCCATCTCTGTGGCTCCTAGTCACAGAGCTCCCTGGGCAGAGGTAGGTTCGTCTTAGGGGATACAGGCTCTGTGTGCACTGGCCACAGCCCTTGGCAGGGATGACACCCATACTGCCCCTGTCTAGGCCGGTCCCACCTACAGCCTTGTGTGACCCAGCTGCAGGCTGAACAACATTGCTTTTAATAGCCTCATTGAGAAAAACCCAGGACCCAGTAATTATGGAATGGGAAGGGATCAGCCTAGGAGTTTGGGCAAGTGAAATATCCTTGCCAGGACTACAGGGGCAAACAAGAGGAGCCGAGGGGAAGTGGGAACGCTGTGGAGTAGAAGTCATGTAGACCTTAACTTCTCGCTCTGCATCCAGTGTCCCTCCGACCTGCTCCTGCAGCAAGGCGTAGGCTCGCTGCAGTGCCTGGTACTCCATGGTCAGCTGCCGGAACCTCAACTCTGTCTCCTCCTTGGCCAGGCCCTGGAGAAACACATGGGCACCATGCAGGCACCACATGTGCAAAGAAAGACGGGGCGTTAGCATGTGCCAAACATCCAGGCTCCACTCTTCCCGGTGTAAACAGCGTGACAAAGGGACTCTGCAGCCTGTAAGGAAGGCCACTACTTGGGATCTGGTACTCTTGGAGAACGGTTTTTGGAGGAGGTGACCCTTGAGCCTCTTGGGTAGGTGGCGGAGCTGCCCTGAGGTCAAGATGAGCCTCTGGTTGGTGGCCAGGGACCAGGGGCTCAGCTGGGGCTTCTACTTGCAGCCAGAGGACTCTGTGACTGACAAGCCTCTCACACAGCTCTGCCTGGCAGAACTGTGTCATGCAAGTACACTGGTCTTTATGAAAGGAGTGCAGGGCCCAGGCAGCACAGTTCACAGATCGGCCCCAGCCTGTGCACCCCAAGCTCATGGTGGCAAAGTTACCCCCAAGATGTATACTTCTGCTGCGACAGCAACAGAGCAGGTGCAGGTGGGTTTGCTGTCACCTTGGAAGGGTCCTGGTGTCCCTTACGTTGGAGGGCCGACCATATCCAGGAGTGGCTGAGTCCATCTTCCCTCCCCATGCTTGCTCCCCAAGGCTGATGGCAGTGGCTGTGCTACAAAGGCTTAGATTTTTAAGCAGGTCCATGGGTCACTCTCTAGCACCTGCCAGGGAAGGTCATAGGCCTTGCCACTGGGTCTGGTCAAGGCTACAGACCACCACTTCCTGTCCATAGGGGTTGGCCAAGCCAAACCAGACCAGTCCCCTACAAAGCCAAATCCTGGTTTTGCAGCTTGGGGGCTGAGACAGCTGCGGGACTTGAAGTAGCTATCATTCGGGTAGGTGGGGCTGGACAACAGGATACCAGGCTGTTTATAGAAGTTAAAAAGGTCCTTACAAGCTGAGTGTGGCAGCATATACCTTTAATGCCAGCACTCAGGAGGCAGAGGCAGGCAGATCTCTGTGAGATGGAGGCCAGCCTGATCTACATAATGAGTTCCAGGCCAGCTGGGGCTACAGGGAGACCCTGTATAAATATATATATATATATATAAAATCCTCTCAAAGCACCAAGATCCCGATGCGCCTGGAATGGTGGCTGACCTCCTGCAGAATAAGTGAGTCAGACCTTCCTAGAAAACCTTAGGAGGGGTCTGGGCCTCTCTGAAGGGGCTCAAGCTTCACAGCGGCTGGCAGGAGCAGACACTGGGGGCAAGGAGCGACTCTCAGCAGCCGGACACCCAAGCTATGTGGAAGGTGTTTGTTATTATATATTAGTGAGGACTACCAGGACAGGCCAGAGGCTCACACAGAGCAGGGTAACAGGCTCCCATCCCAAACCCATGCCCACCCTGTCTCAATGTCCCCCCAGGGCTGGTAAGCCCAAGAACGCTATGAGAGGCCAAGGTTACCTCCTCCAGGTCATCGTCAGGCGTGCATGGGGTCTGGTCTGTCCTGTCAGTTTGGTAAGAGATGGAAGAACCGTCGGATTCCAGAGAAGCTTCTTCATCATATCCAAAGAAGGTCTCCACAACAACTGGCTTCTGACCCAAATGCAATGCATTAGTGCAAACCCAGGCCAGGCTTGATAATCCCAGGCCTCCCGCCTCCTCTCTGCATTGCCCAGTTGCACTGGGCGGCCCCACTGCGATGCACCCTCTTCTCTGTATTGCCCTTCAGGGAGGGCTGGGGCTGGCTTCTCTCAGGCCAAGATGGGGGCCTGGGCACAAGCCAGCTTGGTTACACTAGAGGAGGGATGGTGGGGGATGGATGGGGAAGTGGTCCACATTTCCATGTATAAGTGGTTCCTGGACTTGACACTTGTGCTGTGCCCACTGAGCTCACACAGAGTGAACAGTCAGCTCTGCCCTACTGAGAGCTCAGACTGCATCACAGGTCTCTGTGGTGCTTTCACAAGTATCCGTCCTTGACAGATTGGACTGAAAACCACATGAAACCAGGCCCTCCACCATCTCGTTTGAGAGGCTCTGCCTTCCGGTTCCCCTCACTCTTAGTTTTATTCATCTAGGTTTTAGGAGCTTTACATCCTCTTCCAGCCACATTCAAGATTCCCTCCTTCCTTGCCCAACTCTGAATCAGTGATTAGCCGCTGTGGCCTTGGGTCTCTCTGCTAGTCCTTCCAGAGACACCACATCCTTCTCCTGCCCAGCAGTGTTCTGGACTAGTTTCCTGTGAGCTGACCAGCACCTTACCTTTCCAGAGGAGTGACTACCTGATGCTTGCTTGGTTGATTTCTGGCTACTCTCAGGAAGACTTTCCCCAAGGCTTCTTGTACAGCAAAGGGCAAATCAAATAAACACAAACTCTCATCAAACCTCCAGCCTCTCTGGTCTGTGATTATCTAACTTCAAGCACACCTGGCCTCCTCTTGTCACAGGGTTGTTCTGTCTCTGAAGGCTTCTGCTCTGACATGCTGCATCTCCTTCCTGGCTTCACCTCCTGCTAATGCTGCCGAAGCCTCACTGGCCCCTTTCACCACACACTGATGTCTGCAGTCGAGCTCATCACTGGCCAGTGCTCACCACACACTAGTGTCTGCAGTAAAGCTCCAGGCCTCCTGTCTTCCAGGCCTTTCTGTTCTGACCTCCCAGCTCTCCCTTCTCACAGAAGCACCTGGATAGCTGGGCAACCATGCCTCTAGGTATTTCCAAACACCCTAAAGTGCTCCTGAGGAAAGAGGCCTGGGCCAACTCTCTCCTTTCAGCCATACTAAGGGCCAGGCAAGTCTGTGGCTGAGGAGTAGTGAGTGGTCTGTGTCTCTACAAACCATGGAGAATTGAAAGCAACACACATGCCTGCACACACACAAGCATATTGCACAGAACACATGTAAGGTAGGTCCTTTGGGATGGCCCCCAAAATTTCCCTCAATAAAAACCATGGGCTTATCATAAAGGATGGTGCTCTCAAGAAGGATGCAGGACTGTTGTGCACAGCCTATGTGCATCCTGTGTGGGGCTAGTAGACACAGGTTACTGCAGCTTACACAGGACAATCTGATGGCAGGGTTCATTGCCAGCCAGGACCAATGACAGTAACCAGCCCCGTGAAGGCATCAGGCCCTCTGTCCTCAGAGACATGGAATTTAATGTCCTGCTCAGGGAAAGGGCATGAATGTCCTGTGGCTCCGTACACCTCCTCTTCCTACCTTCATCATCCTTTGGAAGTGTAAAAGCAATGAGGTTGGGTTTTCATGATATCTGAGAAGAAAGTCCAAGGGTAGTGGCATTGGTTCAGATTCTGAGAATGGAGTTGGGAGGCCTTAGTGGACAGGTCCCAGCATGTCCATGGCTGACTGTTGAACTGAGCTGTCTGTGTCTGTACACCCCCAAGTACATACTGACCACTGACCGTGTGAACTGGCCAAACTGCAACTTAGGGAAGCAGATTTTCAGTGCCTTCCTCAGAACTGCGAAGCCATCACTGCTTCCCTGCCGAAGCCAGGGGTCTGCCTGCCTTCCCTTGCTCCTGCTTTGTCAGAGCAATCAGAATTCCCAAAAACAGAGTTGACTCCCTCTTGTGGTTTGAGTCTTAAAGACAGCCAGAGCCTCTTTTCATAACTCCCTAAAACACACGCACATGCACGCACGCACGCACAACTATGGAGCTCATTTCCAAGGACACTTGAACCTGGTGTTTCCTCCACTAAAACTCCGTAACCCTCAGATAGACAGGATCTTTCCTTGTTCTTAGCTAGGTTAACCTGTTCTCAGTTGACAAAATTTAAAACAGAGACTTGGCTTTGAGTCTTGTGTTAGCTATTTCAGAGTGACAACATTTAATAAAATCTGAAAAGGAAGAGATTCATTTTTCTCAAGAAGGTCTTAAAAGCTTGCATTTGGGGGCAGGAGAGATGGCTCAGTGGTTAAAAGTGCTTACTGATCTTGCAGAGGATCCAGGTTTGGTACCCAGACTCAGTTCCCAGCACCCACATGGTGGCTAACAACCATCTGTAACTCCAGTTCCAGATGATCTGACATCCTCTTCTGGCCTCTGCGGGCATGATACACACAGGCACACTTACATACATGCAGGGAAAACATTAACACACATAAAAAATTAATTTAAAAACCTTGTGTTTTGTGTCTTGCCCACCCCTTCCTTTACCTTGGGGAGTTTTGCCATTTTCTTTCTTTGTTTCCGGTACCTCAACAGTTTATCACGCTCCTGCAAAAAGCAGGTAAAGTTGTTTTGTTTTGTTTTTCTAAGTAGCTGAACAGCTTCGTCTGGCAAGTGCACAGGTTAAAGTTTGCATACCATCATTTCGACTGATAAAGAACGTGGTCTTGGGCATGGAGTGTTATTGGGTGATCTAAGCACACACAAGCCTAAGGTAGCAATCCTCTTCCAGCCAACAAGGCCCCTTGTAAGTGGCCCCTGAGCTTGCTGTGTTCTGTCACCCACCCGTGAAGTGGGCAGAACTGGGCTTCGAGGAGGACCAATGGCCAGACCCCTCCTGCTCCATGGAAACAGTGTCCTTGCTTATGGACACACAGCTCCTGAGATACCACAGAGACCAAGCCCTGCTTCACTGCCCCGTGTCCTCATGTTTTTACTGTCATGAGGGTGGACCAGCCTGGCTGACACAGGTCAGGGAGTGCTCTGATAGCAGGCCCCCACCAAGACTGTTGTAGCTGTTTAGGCCATAAGAAGCCATGGGCCCAGAATGGGGCACAGGAGGCTACGTGGGGCAGGGAGAGCATAGAGTAAAGAGGGCAATGCTGCTCAGTACTTACCAACACACTCTTCACATAGCCTGCTGTCTCCAGGGTCTAGGAGAAGAAAATACCATGTCACAGAACAGATGATGCAGACCTTGCTCTAGAGGGGCTGCAGAGAGGCTCCTGAATACCTGAACTTTAACCGGTCACATGACTGGCAAAGGCCTGCAGGCCATACACCTATTCCCCAGTGGATGGCTGGTACCATAATGCTCCTTTCTCCTTCCTTCTGAAGCCTATCCACCCAGGGCTCCCTGAACCTTCCGGAGCACAGGCGTCTCTGTTCATGGCAGGCGGCACAGCCATGATGTGATTAACCAGGATTTCAAATTTTCACATTCCCCCTCCACCACTACTATCGAGTCTGAAGAAAAAGTTCAGGTCTCCAGCAGGGCCAGGCAAGGCCTCCTCAGTGAGACCACCCCACAGCCTGGGGTCAGGGGTCTTCCTCTCTAGACCCATAGAGGAAGGCTTGGTCACTGCAAGACAGGCCAGCACAGCATGTGGTGTCACACCCTGCTGCGGCCTTCCCAAGGACACAGAGTGACCACAGGCAACTTGTTCTGAAATGTTCTCAGCATGGACTCCTCCAGGATTCCAACAAGCAGCAGTAGGTTCTGGGAGCTAGGGGAACTAGAAAGTTCACAGAGCACCACATATAAACCTGTGCTGGGAGTGTGGCGGCCGGCATGGGGACAGAGCAGTGGAGGGGGCTTCATGGTAGCCCCTAAAAGGTGTCCACAGCTAAATCCACATCCATGGGATGTGACTTCCAAATAGGATCTTTGAATGAATAATAAAGTAAAGACGCTGTGGCAGGCTCACACTGATGAAGGTGGGCCGCAAACCCAGTGACAAGGTTCCCACAAGAGACAAAGAGTAGACTGTTCAATCAGTACAGGAAGAATCCACAGGGGTAGCAACTGGGATGGTATGGCCACAGTCAGGGAGCCCTAGAGACCACAAGGGCTACCCAAGAGAAAGGGGGATCCCTCCCAGAGTGCTTGGAGGGAGCATGGCCACCCAGACCTTGATTTGCAGCCTCTAGAATGGTGAGGTCGGATAGATTACATGGCCTTAAGCTACCAGGCTATGGTGATTTGTTACCAACATGGGCAATGTTGGTAGCCTTGGGGTTCAGAGTAGTTAGGAAACTCAGGGAATAGAAGCTATTTAAAAAGGGCCATCTTGAGTAATGACAGTGACGGGGGGCCCAGCCTAGGAGGCCTCACAAATACATGTCTGTCCTCTCCCTGTCCCATCCCCACCCTGGAGAGCTGAGGGTTGGTAGAGGGTATGCAGCAGAGGGAAACCTAGTGGGAAGGGGACAGCAGTAGAGGGTCAGAGCCACACAGCGGGCAGGGGGCGTGGCAGCATGGCATTTTCAGTGGTGGCGGTGCATGGTGGACAGAGGGCCCGGCAGTGGAGGACGTGTAGTGAGCAGGGACACAGCTGCGGAGGGCACACATGACAGCAGAGGGGGCAAGAGCACAATACCTTGGAAAGCTCATCGATGAGGTTTTGCTGCTCCACAATCTGGAGCTTCAGGAAGTCAATCTCTCTCTCATCTTGACTTTGATCAAGGTCATTTAAAGAACTGGGTCTCCGGATGATCCCAGCTCTCTGCCGCTGAAACAGAGTCCGTGGAGGAATGCTGCTTACTACAGGCTTGTTTCCTCTGGCTTTCTCGGCAACCTTTTTATACAGCTTAGGCCCACCTGCCCAGGGATGGCACTGCTAACGAGGGCTGGGACCTCCTACATCAATCAGCAATCAAGAAAATGCCCAAAGACATGTTCCAGGCCAATCCAATAAAGGAAGTTCATCAGTTCCCTCTTAGGCGACTCAAGTGTGTGTCAAGTAGACAAAAACTAACCAGCACACATACCTCCTGCCCCTCCACTCAGTAGGATCCTGGGGCCTCCTGCTACTTTGCACATGGGATTTTTCAGGGCTGTGAGCCCTTTGCCCAAGCCCCTGGCATTAGAGGAGTGTGGAGGGGATGAGCCACTGCCGGCTCTGCCCAGGCTGCTGCTCCTGCACACCTAGCAGGTGCTTACTTACCATTTCCATGTTCTCCTGAGTGACAAATTTCAACTTGCTCTCTATGCGCCGTAAAGTGTGAGACAAATCTTCATTTTTCCGGGTAAGGCGCTTGTTTTTATCCAGCAATGGCTTATACTGACTTTCAGCTTCGCGTAAACGCTTTAACTGAAAGAAAATTTGTTATATAACATGCATTTTTGTGTGACAGAGAACTGACAGGTCTCCACACAGAGAAAAACAAACTGACCAGACAGGTCCAGAGGGATTGAACATGATGAAGACCCTGCTCCCCAGTTGCTCATGTCCCTTACATAAAGTGGCACGAGGGTTTTAGCCCAAAACTCACCACATCCCCTGTATGCTTTAAACTGTGGGATTGTTTATAATATCTCACATAGAACAAGTGCTATGCAAATAGTTGATGAATGATATTGTTCAGGAAATAACAGCAAAAAAGTCTGTTCTGTGCTGGACAGATGCAATTTTTGAAAATAATTTTGGTCCATGGTGGGATCTGTGGATGTCAGACCTGCAGATACGGAATCCTTAAGTGTGAGACCCGTAGGTAAGAAACCTATTGTGATGGGCTGGAGAGATGGCTCAGCGGTTAAGAACACTGGCTGTTCTTGTAGAAGACCTGGGTTCGAATCCCAGCACCCACATGACAGTTAACAACTGTCCATAACTCCGCTCCAGGGGAGCCTCTTCTGTCCTCCACGGGCACTGCACGGCACGGATGCACTTCCCTACATGCAGGCCATACATGCATACACATAGAATAAAAAAAACCCATTGGGAGAGCTGTAGATGCTGAACTCTAAGTGTAAATGTGTAGGTGAGGGATGTAGAGGCACAAGGCATAGAAGTGCAAAGTCCATGGGTGCAGAATCTGTAGGTACAGAATCTGTAGGTGTGGGGCTCTGAGAGTCCACGGGTACAAATTCTATAGGTGGAGACCTATAGATAGAGAATCTATGGGTATAGCATCTGTAGGTGAAGAACCTATGAGACGTATAGATGCAGGATCTGTGGGTGTAGGAATGGAGTACAGAAATGAAAGTACGGCCCAGGCCCCAGGTGGGGTCCCCAGGTGCAGCAGTCTGCGCCAATGCTCTGTTTGTCAATAAGTAAAATCACTGGACCACTCTGGGAAGCTCGAGCACCTGCTGGGAGGTGATTGGGAAACTCAGTAGCTTTGGAGACTAACAGTGAGGGCTCCATTGAAGAGCAGTGAGTTCACAGACCAGGCCATGCAGAAGAAATACAGTGTAGGGATCAGCCAACCAGCACATGGGGTGTTACCTGGCCCACCATCTGTTTTTGTCAATAAGGTTTTACTGGAACATGACCAAGAGACCTTGATGCAAGGCTGTCCCTTGTCACCATCCACAAGGACCCCGGAAGTGGATACCACAGCCCTCTCCAGGCCACAGTGGAGATCCCTCACCCATGGGATCCAAAGCCCCCTACCTGCCACTCACCAGTTCATTCCTTTCTTCAGAAAGCAAGGCGTTTCGATCCTCTAGTTTACGGATGATGGCACTTAACTCTGCGATTTTAAGTTGGAAGCGCCTGGCATCCTTTTCATCCAACTGCTGTTCCTGAAACAAAAATCAACTGCAAATAACTGTTCCTAGATACAAACCTTTGCACATCCCAGCCCACCAAAACACCTCTGCATCCGTGACTTGCTTTGCTTCCAAGTGGCTGCTGATGGGGCCCCTCCTGGCAGAGGTACCGGCCTAGAGCTCATGCATGGCAAACTGCATGATGGGAAAGCAAACATGTCCACAGTATGCAAATATGGCAGGTGAGGGAGTGCAAGTGTGGGTAAGAACTAGCTGCATGCCTCCTGGCGGCTGCTCCCAGCTGCACCTTCCAGGTGGATCTGCCCTACCTGCCAGGCAGCAAGTCAGTTTACAGGGTGAGCACAAGAAAAGATACTCCTTGAAGACTTTCTAAAGTTGCTTTCCCAAGAAGTGTGCTCCATCAGACTGAGTTTCTAAGAGGTTTCTTTTAGAACCATGGGAATGCTAAAAATCAATGAAAACATTCCAATTCAGGTTTGGAATCTGGAGTGAATCCAGTGGTCTGTCCAGAACCTGGGCAGGCATGATTCTAACTCAGTTAAGCCATTTAAAATATGACTATAAATCATGTTCTCTAATGTCAATGGCCCAAGGCTAGCTCAGCTCAAAATTTTGCCCTTGAATCAAACAAAAAGTGTGTCCAGAAAGGTACTAGACACGGCTCTGATTCCTCATTCAACAGGTGCAGGAGAGGCTGGGGACCAAAGACTCAGAGGGATGGCTTTGAGGGTCTCCCAGGGTGCTGCAGACCACCACAGAGAAGTGAGAAGCAATGATGGGATAGGTGCCTTGCAGCTGTGCCCCACAAGGTCACCAGCAGCTCGAGGAAGAGCAGAAAGTGTCACATGAAAAGCAGGTGGGTGGTGACTGGTGGGGCTAGCGCCAGAAACAACAAGGTGAGGGACCAAGCCAGAGATGCAGGTGGGGGGGGAGCTGGCGCACATGCAGGGGAAGGGAGGAGGAGCAGCTCATGCTCAGAGTGGGTCCTCCCCACCAGCCAAGGGCAGCAACCTCGACCAGCAAGTGAGAAGACCCTTAGCAACCTGTGGTCCTGGAGGCTACAAGATCGGTGCTTATGCTGGGATGGTGAGGAAGGAGGGAGACAGTCTGCCAGCCCTCCTGGCAGCCAGAGCTAGGTAAGTCAGGCACTAGCTGTACAGTCTGGGACAGGAGGGTCTGGCTAGATGTGCGTTCTGGACTCCCCATGGAGCTGCTGCATAGGGCCACACAGCCATACGGCACTGTGGGTCTGCAACCGGGAGGCAGCTGGAGCAAGGCCTGGGGGTGCTTACAGGGCTTCCCGAGTGGTCTGAGGCGTCTCCTGCACCGCTTGCATAAGGAAGTTCCCGTCTGGGGCTGCCTGGGTGCCGCTCAGCCTCTTTGGCCTGGGAAAGTTGCTCATCTAGAGCCTCTTTCTGGAGCTGCAGTCTCTGGGCATGCCCGGCTTGAACCCCTAACTCTCTCTCCAGCACGAAGACTGCTCTGTCTTTAAATCTTATCTCCTCCATCTACAAGGAGAACAGAACACAATCACGCGCACAGGAAGGGTACAGATCTACAGTTACCATAGAAACGGGCAGAGTGGCATTGGGAGAGGAAGCCATGGCAGCCTTGCCTGCCAGTGTCTCTGGCTAGGGGACTAGAAGCAAAAGCAGGCATCCAGGGCTCCCATGCTGCATGATGCCCCAGCCCCAGGCCACCCTGATCCAGCCAGCTCACCCTGGGCTGGTCCCAGTGACAAGTCCCTTCTAGGGGCCCCAGGCAATGTGTGTCCTTGCACTGTCAGCCAGAGCAACCCAGCAAGAAGCCCCCATCCTTTGCTGTATTGTATCCACAGCAACAGGCATTACTGGGTGGGATTGAGGGAAGGCCTACAGTTCTTGCCTCCTGCCATGCAATGGGCAAAGCAGAGGTCACCCTGACCCACCCACACCTGCCACTAAGGATATAATGTACAAGATTCTTCTTTGGAATGCATGAGGTGAACCTGCCTCTGAGGTGCAGACATGAGCTGGATGCTGCACAGTTGATCTCACATTGAGTATATTTCCTACGACTCCTGCTGCAGGATGAGGCTTTCAGGGTAGGGTAGGGGCATCTGGACGAGAAGGCTCCAGGAGGCAATGCCCAGCAAGCCTAACCTGCCATAGTCCCTGGCTGCTGCTGGGGTTGGGGCAGTAAGGAGTCTGTGACCCTCCCAACTTCCCTAAAGGACAGTGTGCTTTGTGGTCAACCTATCAGTGGCAGCAAGACATTCTGGACATGGCTGCAACCTGTGTCCTAGGCCTCTCACCAGCGGTGCCCAAGCAGGTATGTGCTTGGCCCAAGGTGGACCCTGCATGGGGTGTGGAAGGAGGAACTTGGGTGCTCTAAGTGTCGTAAATGGCACTAGGTTTGTAACAGGACAGCATCATTGATGAAGGAACAACTCCATTCAAAACAGATTTTCAAAGACAGCTTTTCTGTTTGCTATTTAAGGTTAAAAAAAAAAAACACCAATAAGCCAGTGATTTGCTAAAGTTGGCTGGAAACAGAGATGGGTGTCTAATTAACCCTGACCACAAATTCCATGCAAGCCATGAGCAGAAGAAGATACAGAAACCTTTAATGACTCAACTCCTGTTCACTGGTGCATGCCACAGTGCTGTGAGAGCAGCCCAGCCCATCAGCAGAGCAGAGCGGCTGGTGGAAATAAAATCATGTAAAAGCAGCTACGTTCTGGAGCTAAGTGCACACAGTCATTCACTGAATTCTCCTCCTCCATAGACCTGGGCAGGAGAGCTCTGCGCTGGCAGAATATGACTGCCTGAGCACCCGGTTTGAGCAAAGGCCACCCTACCCGTTAAAGCCATCAGGCAGAAAGTGATGCTCAATCCCCATCACAGAGGCATGGGATGCCCATTAGTGACAGGGTCTCCTAAACTGTTGGTCTCTCACACAAAGTTCTTAGCTGATCCTGTGTTTCTGTCTCCTATTCCTGCTGGGTTAGGCCGGGAGGACTTCATGGGGCATGGGGATGTGTCTGCAGGATGCTAGCCCCACCCACATTAGGGTGCTCTGCAGAGGTGGGTGACCGCTCACTCATACCTGGCACCACCTGGCACACATAGTGAGCCATGGAGAGTGGGATGGCCCAGGACACCATAGCAGACAGCACAGGATTCCTGCCACAGGTAGACCCGTGCCCACACATGTGGCTCCCTTCTTGTGACAGGAACTAACAAAGTGTCCCTTGTGTCATCACAGGCTGAAGGCTGGGTTCCTCATCTGGTGAGCGGCCCACCCATGAGCCTGGGCTGAGGACCTTCCAGTACATGATCTCCACCACTGAACCCAGGGAGTCCCAGTAAACAAGAAGGAGCAGGTCCCCTACTGTCTGTCCTAGATGACTGTGCAGCTTCCAGACACCACATGCCACCCTATGTCCTCTCCTTCACCCACCCACTCTGCCCTTTTACAGCCAGGGTCAGCTTGTTCAAGTGAGATCACATGTCCTTGCTCCAGTGATGGGAATACTCTTTCCAGAAGAAGATTCGGGATCTTTGCTGGCACCTGCTGGTTGCCACATGGATTCCTCCTGCTGCCCCTGTCATTGCACATGACTCTCAATTATAAACAGTGTCTGAAATCACAGGGAGGTTCCTGGGGACTGTGGATCCCCACAGAAGGGGTGTCAGAAGGTTGCTTGTCCAGTACTTAAGATGCCTCACATCCTGACTCAAAGAACATGCTCAGCACAGTGCTTCTCCATCAGAGCTTCCTGGGACCCTGGCAGCAGGCAGATTCCCACCCCAGGCACGGAGGCAGGACCCCTGGAGGACACCTTGCCTGTTCCTCTGCTGGCTGATACACCTGACAGCTAGTCCTGCAGTGCTGAGGACCATCACCCCATGTATACCTCACAATGTTCATCAGGCAGACCTGCCACTCAGAAACACTTTCAGTGGGTTCCTCACAGCTGTGGCTGCTTCCATCTTGGCAAACCATGACTCAGTGGCCAAGATAAAGCACCTGCCACCCTGCAGCAAGTGTCCTTGGAGGAGGGCTGTGTCCTGGTCTTGCAAACACTCTAAACTAGGCAGTGCCTCGTTGACAACAGAGGACATGCACACCACCTGTGTTCTGTGGTGACCGAACACATAAACACGTCTCCCCCAGCAGAGAAGGCCGTTGTTCAGCAGGGGTGTGCAGGAGAAGAGGAGGACACAGTGGTTTGTAGTGGGGTTCAGTTTCCTAACAAGAAGGTCCTGGAAGAGCCCCTGAGGGCTCAGGATGGGAAGGAAGATGGGAAAGAAAATGCAGACCAGATGGACAGCTCAGACAGTGGAGGCCATGGAAGGGATGGCTGTGTAGGAGCGGAGGATACCAGAATAACAGTTGTCCATCCTCGGTCATCCTCAGTCGGGGTCTGAGAGCTAGTATACAGAGAAAAGATACTCAGGGCCCAGCACTTGAGCCCCTGTCCTTGGTGTTCCGAGCTCCGTGAGTATCCGTGGCGTGGCTGAGAACTAGTTCCCGGGAACTTATGCCACAGACAGGACAGTCCACCAACACAGTGACAATGGTGGTTCCCACTGGAATTTTCTAGAAAAACTCTTTAAAAATGCCGACTTCTAGAAGCTGCTGATCTTAGACATAAAGAAGTTGACACTAGACTTAACCTTGGACTGTCAGCAACTCTGGAAGCTAAACAAGCACACAGGGCAGAAGTGGGATGCTGGAGAAGAAAGTCCGAGCTCAAGTCCCCGCCCCGCTGGCCTCTGTGAGCTCTGTGCATCTGAGTGGAACCTGAGGTTGCCGCAGAGCCGGCACTGGGTTGGGTTTTTAAGTATTACTTTATTATTTCTATTTGTATTTTATGCATTTGAATGTTTTTTTCTGCAGGTATGCAAGCACACCATGTGCATGCCATGTCTGTGGAGGCCAGGACAAAGCACGAGATCCCCTGGAACTGAGGTTATAGATCATTGTTAGGTGCCATTCGGGTGTTGGGAACCGAACCTGGGTCCTCCACAGAGCAGCACAGCTATCTGCCAAGCTATTTCTCTGGCCCCAAGCACCAAGAACTTCATGATAGAGAAAAGGTGAAACAGATCCACCCTAAAGTTCCCACCCAACCTGGGAAGGACCCAGGCTGTCCGCTGCCAATTTGACTGCCCCGCCAGAAGAAAACATTATTTGGGCAACAAGTGTGTGCAGAGCTACAACAGCTCACCCACAGTTAAGACTGCACCAAAATGAAGAGCTGTGATGGAAACATGGAAGTAACAAGCAGGGAGGTGAGCTGGGTAAGAGAAACAAGCAGGCCCAGGGATGGCTGGAATACTGGAGGTAGCAGGATAGAACTGGAAAAATAATTGTGACCAATGCACTGAAAGTAACCAATAGGGTTAGTATACTAAAATACTGGTTTCCTCACCAGGTATAGTGGCACACACTTTTAATAGCTCCTTGGAAGGTGGAGGGAAGAGGATTAAGAGTTCAAGTTCTTCCTCAGCTGCATAGCGAGGCTACCTGTAGCCTGGACTATGAGCTCCTATCTCAAAGAAGTCTGGGCATGGTGGTACATGCCTTTAATCCCAGGCAGAGACAGGCAGAGCTCTGTGAGATAGAGGTCAGGCTGGTCTAATAGCGAGTTCCAGAACAGCTGGGGCAGGACACACACAAAAATTGAGGCTGGAGAGATGGCTCTGTAGTTAAGAGCACTGGGTGCTCTTCCAAAGGACCTGGGTTCAATTCCAAGCACTCGTGTGGCGGCTAACAGCCATCCATAACTACGGTTAGAGGGGTTCCAACACCCTCTTCTGACCTCTGTGGGCAAAATACTCATACACATAAAATTTTAAAAAAAGAATGCTTACTTTATATGCACGAGAACCTGAACTCAGAGCCTCAGCTCCTTCATAAAAAACTGGATATGGCCACATACATCTATAACCCCAGTGCTGTGGGAGACAGGCAGACGATTGCTGGGGCGCTTGCTGGCCTCCAGCTACCTCCAGGTTCACTAGGGACCTTGTCTCAAAGAAATAATGTGAAATGTGATAAAGGAGGACACTTGGCATCCTCCTCTGGCCTACACATATACATATGTGCCTGCAGCGTGCACACCACACACACACACACACTAAATAAAAATATAAATAAAAATGTTTTTCTCACAGAGGTGGAAAATGGATAAAAATGTAATTCAGCCCGGCATGGTGGCGCACACCTTTAGTCCCAGCACTTGGGAAGCAGAGGCAGGCAGATCTCTGTGAGTTTGAGGCCAGCCCAGTCTACCTAGCGAGTTCCAGGACAGCTGGTACTACAGGGAGACCCTGTCTCAAGAAGAAAAAAAAAAAAAGGACAAAAAATGTAATTCAATTGAGAATTAGAATCTATAAAAAAATTCAATATCTAAAATTGGGAATTTTATCAGCATACTGGACACGGGGAATCACAAACACAGGATAAATGTCAGAATATACGTAAGGCACAGAGGGCAAAGAAATCTTTCAAAAGGAGC